TAAATGTATACTAATATTTGTCAAACATTCTTTAGGAATTTATAAATAGATAACATTTGTCATAAATAAAATTGTTATTCTTTATTTTTTCTAGAAATTACTAAGATAAAAAAAAAATTGAATATCACAAAAATTTAAGTACTAATGAAATACTACCTAATTGTAAAAAAATAAAAAAAAGAATAAAAAAAAGAATAAAAAAATTTAAAACCCGGCGGGTCAACCCACTCTGTGGCGGGTTGAACCCGTTTTGACCCACTTCTAGGCGGGGCGAGTTGATGTGGGTTGGTTGGTTTAAAATCTCAACCCAGCCCGCCCCGTTTTGGCGGGTTGGCAGATTGACCTGCCGGGCTCAATCCATATTGTCACCCCTACTTAACCTTGTTCAACTTTGGACATGAAAGCTGCTGTCGTTAACTCGTTATGATTTTCCCGATGCCCCAACCCGCTTTCCTAGTTTCTCAAGTGAACGAGAATTAAAGAGTTTTGGTTAGAAACTTTATAGGATGTTGGCTTGAGAATTTGTAAGTATAGGAAGTAACTTTAGAGGGTTTTATCTGTCCGTGCCTTTATTGGCTTCCAGTTGTTCATCCCTTTATTGTTCTCATCTTATGGCTGTCATATTATATATGACACCCAACAAAAGGTGCATCTTTACACTGTTCATTGAAAGGGGAAAAAAAAGAACACAATATTTTGTCCGAATTGAATGGACCACTCTCAAATCTCAATAATCCAGATTCTCGCCCGCTTAAAAAAAGAGATGAAAAAAATCAAAGGGATTGATTTAAGTTATACATATTTAACTTTTTTTTAAGTAAGATTTTGGATTGAAATACTTTTGAATATGAAAAAATTCTCTTTGAAAGAGCTTGTTTCATCATAATGTAAATGTTCTTGACTTGAGCGGAATTACCTCTGATGGAGGATATATATATTTATCCAAAAAAGAGATTAAAAAAAAAAAACATGTGAGGAGACATTTTAATATAGTTAGGATCAACATGGCTATAAAAGCTCCCACTTCAAATTTCATTGTCACGTGTACACACTAAGTCGGAATCATTGGGTGACTTTACACTCTAGAACATATGGGGACCAAATACTTTAACGAGCTGTTTTTTTATGAGCTAATTAGCTGTTTTTTTTAGGCTACTACTAAAATTTCTTAGGGCTAAGATACATTGGGAAAAAATAAAAGCTTGTAATATTTGTAAATATTTTTTTTTGTTAGTTAAAAATTAACATGTTTTCATTAAATAAACTTACGAAAAATTTTATAAACAAAAAAAAATTAACTTATTTAAAGCAAATAATCTCAGAAAAGCAATTTAAAATCCTGCAATAACAGTTGGAGAAAAAAGGAAAGTAATTTGTCGTGGGGTGGGAAATTCATCGCGACATCATACATGGATGTGCGTGTTTTGTTTTGGATCAAAATCAAACTCCGAACCGAAAGGAGTATATTTTGGGTACAATTAGAGTAAATACCTCCTTATCATAAAAGAAAAATATATATATGAAAAAAAAGTAACTATAAAATAAAAAATAATATAAATATATTACTTTTTTTATATTTAATAAAAGATGTATCGAAAAATATTTTGAACCGAAAGGCAACCCAATAAAATCCAACGGTGGATGCTGGTCCAAAGCAGAAGCAACATTGCCCGTGACGCATATGGTCAAATGTGATTGCACCGCATTCAAGCCAAACAAGAACACAAAATACATGTCAAGAAAAATAAATAAATGATTAAATTTTTTACCATTGTCCAAATCCCTTCTAATAAAAAAATATTGACAACAAAGGTGGCAATTATTACGGAAAGAGGTTGTCTTTACAAAAAAAATTCTTACAAACTTACCAATTATATTAAATGTCAGATTTTAATCAAGAGTGTATGATCGATCTGACATAAAGTAATTTATAAAGTAAACTTTATTTGATTTAGGGAAATACATTGTAAAGAATCAATTCAATCTAAAAGCTTAAACTATTGAATGAGGTTATATTAATGGTTTTATATATCTCAACACGTCTCCTCACACGAAAGTCCACTGAGCTTGAAAGGTGGACAATATACAGACCCATCTACCTATGCGAATAAAGAAATTTCACCTGAAAGAAAGTGGGGGGCGACGAGGATCGAACCCGGGACACGAGACTTTGATACCATGTAAATAATCAATTCAATCCAAAAACTTAAGCTATTGGATGATGTTATATATTAATGATTTTATATATCTCAACATATATTTTTTTTTTTTGGTATGGTATCCCTCCTTTATCAGGACAACAAATAAAAGTCATGCATACACCAATTTTGATGGCTCCATTATTGAAAAAAAAATGCTTACATACTTATCGATGGATCAACAATATAATAGTTAAAATCTTGATTTATTATTATAATTTTATATTTTTATGATTTTTTTTATTAAAATAATTTTATCAATAAATACTTTTATATTTTTATGATTTTTTTTACATTACAATTTTATGTTTTAAGATTAGTATCACCCTTTCAATTTTACATAAACTTTCAATTTTAACTGCTTGGTTAACAGGAATATTGTTTTGTTGTCCGGTTAAAGGAGGGATCTATTCCTTTACCAAAAAAAAAAAAAAAAAAAAAGGAGGAATCTATTCCCCTTTAATTTATTTCCACTTTATTTTTTAAAAATAATAGTAAACGATGTCATTTTATTTTATTTTATTTCCCTCTAGTAAGTATATTCTCACTTTTCTTTAGGATAAACTCAAGTCCACCATCGTCAAAGAACCACCTACTCACTTTTCCTTGCCCTGCTAACCAAAGCAATTAGTACTTAGTAGTGTCTGCTGTCTAGTGTGTTTGTCCATGCATAAAGTCAAACAACTTTCTTAAACTGACAAGCAAATAAATGATGAGTTGATTTTGAATTTAAACATGAATTGATTAAATGTTTATTTAAACTCAATTTTTGAAAACCCAAGTTAGAGATGATAAGGAATGAATTGAAAATAATTTTATAATTAAAAATTAATTTAAAAGTTATTTTTTGTTTTAGGATTAAAATGGAAAATAATATTACATATAAGGACCACACATTCAATTTAATACAATCTAATATTAACAGGTGTAATTTATAATTTATTATTCAATTAAATTAATGAGTACACACAATATTATAACAATTATTATAATTTAGGAAAAGAAAATTAAGAATTAAACTAAATATTTTTCTTGCAATTAAATTAAAAAAATACCATATATAAAAGCTAAAATTTTAATTTAATAAAAAAATACAATCACAAATCACTGGACATGCGGGAATTTTTTAATATAGTCCACAACAACCATGATCCTTCCACTAAAAAATTAAGATCTAGATCATTTTTTTTTCTTTCTCTTCAATTTTTTTTCTCTTTTCTCACCTTTCGCCTACCAATTTTTTTTTTTTTCCGGAGCACACAAATATCGCTAGGACATGCGCATGCCGTTTACTATCTAGTCTCACGATTTTTATTTTTGTTTTTTTTTTAAAGAATAGAAATTATTCCGTTATAAACTTACATCACATCACAAATATATGTGAAGACTGAAGAGTACTTGTAAATAATTTGTTAATAAAAGTTCATCAATTTAGAATAAACTTTTCATTGAAACTTTTGAATCAGTTCATGCAATAACAATGAACGAATATTAAATATATAATAATTTAAATATTTTTATTTTCTTCAATAATATCTTTATTAGTTTACCCATTTTTATTTGTTTCAAAATTATGTTTGGATAATTAAGTAAACAAAACTGGAATTGAAACTTTTTTATACTTTTTAAATTATAATTTTATATAAGTTGGAAATGAAATGATGATATTTCTAAAACTGTAATTAATTAAATATAAATTATAATTTTATTAAATAAGAATGAAAAATATATCAATAAAAGTTATCTATGTAAGTTTTTATTACAATAAATAATTCTTAAGTTTTTGTTTGCGTAAAAAAATAAGAGTTAAAATAAAGGATTATATTACTCTCATATTATATGAGAGTAATATAATTTTTTACAGATTCATAGATTCTTGTGTTTTTTTTTAATAAATAGTGAGGTCCACCACATGATTATATTTGTAACATGAAATAATATATCTTCTTTTGCATCAGAGTAATAAAATCTAAACATGAAAAAAAATTAGAGTAAAGTCCATTTTGGGTCCTAACAAAAATATGATCTCCACTTTTGTCCTTTAAAAAAAATCAACTTTTAGTCTCTCTATAATTTCAGTTCTTTGAAAAATTGGTCTCCTAGAAATTCAATGAAGACCTAATTTAATTCCTCATACAAAAATTAAGGAAAAAATTCATCAATGCCTCTGTGGTTTGCTTCACCTATGTCCCTTGATTTCTTTATCACGTATGCCCTTGAGGTTTGTAAAAAATAAAAAATCATATGGACTTATGTGATAAAAAAAACATATCCTTTTACAAATCACAAGAACATATGTGATAAAAAAAAAAATCATAGAAGCATAAATAATTCTGTTGTAAATCTTAGAGACATTGGTGAACTTTACTCAAAAATTAATATGAATATTTTTTTATTTTTTATTTTTTTGTAAGAAACGAAAATAAATACGATTTCTTTTATTAGGATTCTAAATGGAGCTTTGCAAAAAAAATTATTTATTAGAATGAGGGACCAAGTCCGCACTTGCCGTCCACAGAATCCGTGTCCTCATATGACCAAATTGAGTTGAGCCTTCTCTTCCTTTTGTTCCCTCTCTCGTCTTCTCATGTAACAATGACTTGTTCGACACATATTTTTCGTAATTCCTATTTTGCCCCACACCACCAACATTTTATTTATTTATTTTGCATTTTAAACCTCTGAATCTCATTCATTCAAAAATCAACTCTATTAAATATAAACCCCTCCCTCTAATATCTGTCCTCGTCTCTCTCTCTCTCTCTCTCTCTCTCTCTCTGTCTGCAATCTGCATATATATATATTTAATAATTATCATTATTCCTTTTTGCTTACCTGTTTCTCTCTCTTTACAACTAAACATCTCTCTTCTTGGGGGCAACATTTTTGCGATCTCTGGTGGGTTTAGTTTTCAAGGTACAATTTTGTGAAATGGGTTTTGTTTCATTACGAGAATTGAGCTCTACCCATGTTTGCAAATCCTCTTTATTTACTGACAATGTTAATGCTTCGCTTCCGTTGCTTATTTTCTGATTGGATTCTTCTTCCTTCATTCATATCTAACCATAATCGGTTTTCTGACACTGTTGGAGAAATCCAAGTCTTACTTTCTGCTTTTAATTTTTTTTTATTAATGTTTAGCATCATTGCATCTGCTAATTATTTGCATGAACGTGGCTGAATAGAATGTGATGTCAAATTCTTAGCTGGGATTGTCTGGCTTTGTTGTATAAAAGAATAAGCATAAGGGGTTAGACACAAGAATATTAAAAATAAAAAAAAATAAAAAATTGAGCTTTGTCTTGAGTTCATCTGGTCTTGTCAATTTTGCTAACCTTGTTCTGCATACACAGCCTATTTTCACTTGCACATGATTTTTATGTTCTGAGTGTTCAATGCATCTAAATTAGAGAAAGCAAGCTTCTTTTTGTTATTATTATTTTTTATGTACAGTAGTAGAGATTCTTACTGGAAAGGATCTTTTGGAGGGACTTGGTTATCATTCTAAGAAGTAAGAAGACTGGATCATAAAGATGTTCTATGCTTAATTGCATGCTCTTCTTTGTTATCATCTTTTCATTTAAGTAAAGTTATCTGACCAAAGTAGATTCAACTTTTGAACAGGGCAAAATGACAGATGCAAGAGAGGATGCACCCTTGATGCCCCCATCATCGCGAAATCTTCCTGATTTCAAGAACTCTGTTAAATTGAAGTATGTCAAGCTTGGTTATCATTACCTCATCACTCATGGAATGTACCTCTTCCTTTCCCCCCTTGTGGTGCTGATTGCTGCCCAGCTCTCCACCTTCTCCCTACAAGACCTTTATGATCTTTGGGAGCATCTACAATACAACTTGATATCTGTTATTCTTTGCTCAACTCTCCTTGTTTTTCTATCCACCCTCTACTTTCTGACTCGTCCTCGGCCAGTGTACCTCGTGGATTTCTCCTGTTACAAGCCTGAAGAATCTCGGAAATGCACAAAAAGGGTGTTTATGGATCAGTCTCAGATGACTGGTTCTTTCACAGAGGAAAATCTTGGGTTCCAGCGAAAGATCCTTGAGAGATCTGGCCTTGGGGACTCCACTTACCTTCCAGAGGCCGTCCTCAACATTCCTCCTAACCCTTCAATGAAAGAAGCTAGAAAAGAAGCTGAGGCTGTGATGTTTGGTGCCATCGACGAGCTATTCGCTAAGACCTTTGTAAAGCCTAAGGACATCGGAATTCTGATTGTAAATTGTAGCCTGTTCAACCCAACTCCATCACTTTCTGCAATGATTGTCAATCATTACAAGCTTCGAGGGAATATAAGGAGCTACAACTTAGGTGGTATGGGTTGCAGTGCAGGGCTGATCTCAATTGATCTAGCTAAAGATCTTCTCCAGGCCCATCCTAACTCCTATGCATTGATCATTAGCATGGAGAATATCACATTGAATTGGTATTTTGGAAATGATCGGTCAAAGCTTGTTTCTAATTGTATATTTCGTATGGGAGGAGCTGCAGTTCTGCTGTCTAACAAAAGCTCTGATAGAAGAAGATCCAAATACCGATTGGTCAATACCGTTCGCACTAATAAGGCTGCTGATGACAAGTGTTTTAGCTGTGTTACGCAAGAAGAAGATGCCAATGGCAAGATTGGTGTTACTTTGTCAAAAGATCTGATGGCAGTTGCAGGTGATGCTTTAAAAACCAATATCACTACATTGGGGCCTCTTGTACTTCCAACATCTGAACAGCTGCTATTCTTCACCACATTAGTTGGAAAGAAACTTTTCAAGATGAAGATCAAACCTTATATTCCAGATTTCAAGCTAGCTTTTGAACATTTTTGCATCCATGCCGGAGGCAGAGCTGTTTTGGATGAACTGGAGAAAAACTTGCAGCTATCTCCTTGGCATATGGAGCCATCAAGGATGACACTTTATCGTTTTGGAAACACCTCCAGCAGTTCACTTTGGTATGAACTGGCTTACACAGAAGCCAAAGGGAGGATCAAGAAGGGAGATAGAACCTGGCAAATAGCATTTGGTGCTGGATTCAAGTGTAACAGTGCAGTGTGGAAGGCTCTCAGGACCATTGACCCTGCTAAGGAGAAGAGCCCTTGGATGGATGAGATCGACCAGTTTCCAGTTGATGTTCCAAGGGTATCTGCCATCTAAACGATGAAATTTCAAATATTAGTGTATCAGCATTAGGTGGTAGCTGTTTCCCTGGTGAAATTCTATTGAGCTATTGAGGTACATCACTGTTTTCAGAGTTCAGATTTTAGGAGTTTTATTCTACTTTTGGTAGGTTTGTCAAATCCAATTTAGTCAGGGACTGGTGCTTGAGCTTTTATTTGCTGTGAGGGTGTATGTTTCTCGGGATTATATTTATTGATTGGTCTGTGGATTGTGGTAGTGAAATGCGTAGGGCATCTGATGTTATTCCCAATCTCAAATCTTGATTTCTCCATTGAAATTTGAATTGAACATTTCCATTCCAATTCTTTAGTGTGTTGATATTGAAAACTAACTTCCAAAGTTGATATATTTTTGGTTAGTAATTTGTATCAGCATCTGTACGCAATTCATCAGCTACCTGAGGTGCTTTTTAGCTGCATGATAGTCGTCTACCAATTATTTGAATATATAGCTCTTGCCTTAGGATATTGCAATATTCTCCCTTTCCAATAGGACTTTTTCATAAAAGGTGACAAGTCTAAGGCAGTTGAATGCTTTTATGCATGAAAAAAATGTTAGAATGTCCTTTCCTTTCTTTGCTCACTATCCTTTCTTACGAGTCCAATAAGGATTAGGATCACACACGGTTGAATTTGGTCCATTAGCTATTTAGGTCTTTGCTGGATTGAGTGTTGTAGGACGATGACTTCGTAGGATGCTTCTGCGGGATACTTTGCTAGATGGTGAACTTGTTGCTGGATGTCTTGATTAGCTGGGACAAATGTGGAGCAGGTGCAACGCACTCTATGCTCAAGTCAATACATGAACTATGAGCTTAAGTCAAGATGGAATAGATGATCCACCTAGGCTTCAACCCTTTGTTATATAATAGTTGATTGCCCTCCTTATGTCGCATTGGCATGGCGGCTTTTAACCTCATTGGTGGACAGAAATGGCTTTTACAGGCTATACCGTGCGAGATGTTTGTTTGTGGGCTATGCTTGTGTAGCTGGAATAAATCTTTGGTACTACTACTGTATCTAGATTCATTGGTGGGATGCACTGAATTTTTGGTACAGCAGTAGTACCAAAGATTTATTCTTATAACTGGATCCAAGTTTCTATCCCTTAGCTATTGGATATTAGGATGGCTATAGAGCTCTAAACTGATGTTGTGTGGCTGAAGAATCCTGAGTTGCTAATGTCGTGTGTCAGAAATCAGAATATGTAGGGATGGCCACGTTTTCTTAGCCTTAAAGTCTTAGTTGTTGGGCCACTTGGGCCATTCATAGACTAAGCCTTATATCCCAAGTGAAATTGGTCTAGATCATTTTCTTTCTCATGCGATGAACTTGTTTATTGTGAAGCACCAATGCAAGCAAAATAAACATCTAGACTTTGAAAAGAGAATGCTCCTGTTTCTTATAAGCATGATGTTCTAAGCATATGTCATAGAAACACGCTTGAAAAAACCCAGGTTCTCCCCTTTTTTAATAAATTGTTTCTTTTGGCACGTCTTTATCATGTTATACAAATAATGAAAATTTTGCTTTTTCTTTTTCAAGTGATATCTCATTTAAGGCTACAGAAAAATCCTCACAATTTAGCTTTTTTTTTTTAATTATTCTTGTAATTTTTTAAGTGGAATAGTAAAAAAAAATTAAATTTACATATGAGTTATCTTGGAACTTATGTTTTAATCCATTTGTTTAAGAATCCAATGTAATGAATACCAAACAAAATGGCATCTTTAGAGGAACATCACCGTAACTTACCAACGTATTTGCCGCGGCAACGTCAGAAGCACTAACAGCAACAACTCTTGCTTCTCGAAACAAAATAAAAATATCAACAAAATTAAACAACAGTTGAATATTCAAATCATCATCTTGAATTGTCATCAGAATCATCCAGCAAAAGAACTTCGGTGGTAATAGCCATTGTTTGATGGAGTGCAGCATGCGTACCCAATCATCACAAAGATAACGTGCCCACAGCAATTACAATAATATCATTATCACTACCATTTTTATCATAACCTCCCATAGGACCACCACCACCACTATTATCAAACTGGTTTGTGTTTGGATGGCATGGAGAAGGAAGGAGATGATTAATATTTCATTTTCAAATTTAGAGTATCATAAAAATATTTATAAAATGAATATTTAAAAAATTATATGATAAGTCTCTTGTTTAACTTAAAATAAAATTAAAAAAAAAAAAATCCTCTTCTTCCCCATCAAAACTCCTATAGTGAAACATAGCCTGAAGGATTAATAAATAATAAATTCTTTACAGCTGTTGAATGAAAGTGGGGCGTGGGAGCGGGAGGAAATACAATTAAATTTCCTATTTATGAGAAACGAGAAAATTTTATGTTAGAGCCAGTAAGAAGAAATGGTTACAGTAAATAGGAATATTCTTGCTTCCTCTTGGAGGGAGTGTTTTTTCATCCTCCTGGGGCTGTAACCGACTATTATCATTAAGACCAAGGTGAAGCCACACAAATTTAAAGTGGTCATTTGAATAAAGAAAAATGCTTACATCAGATGCAAAGTGGTCTCCAATAAATAATACCAACCGCTTCCCACCTTTGAGAAGTAGCAACCCGTCACAAGCACGAGCCTGCTAGTGTGACAAGAAAGGAACTCAACTACAACTACAAGACGAGATATACCATGATTCATTTCTTAGCATGCAAAATTCCCACCCATGAAATGATGAAACAGCAATCCCAAACATTAAAACAAAACGACATTATCCTTAATTAAGATTAGCACCACATTAAAATGAGAAACAGAAGATCAAGTATATCCACAGACCACAATCAACAGCAACTTAATCGTAAATAGCAGGTCCTACTGTTTTAGGAAGTGCAACTAACAAATCGACAATTAGTAGAGAGAAATGTTCCATCAAGCACCCTATGAACCATTAGTAATCTACTCCTTGGAAGACTTGTTGATAAGAGATTTGTGAATATGAGGTATCACACCTCCCCCAGCAATTGTTCCTTTGATCAGCGTATCCAGTTCTTCATCACCCCGGATTGCAAGTTGTAAATGCCTGGGAGTAATGCGTTTAACCTTGAGATCCTTGCTAGCATTCCCAGCCAGCTCCAATACTTCAGCAGTCAGATACTCCAAGATAGCAGCAGAGTAAACAGCAGCCGTGGCTCCAACTCTACCATGAGATGTGGTCCTTGACTTCAAAAGCCGGTGGATCCGCCCAACCGGGAACTGCAGATTACATTATAGAAGAAGCTCACGTTTAGACAATAACATGCAGCTTAGAAGTAGGACGGTACAAAATAACCGAACCGCACTTAACTGTAGTTTTCTCAACCAATTTTGAGAACCGAACTGATTTTATAAATCAGTTTAAAAATTAAACCGAGCCAAAAGAACCGGTTTGGAAAACCTGTTCGAAACCTATCAAAGAACTAGTTTGCATATCCAAACTAGTTTTTAACCGGTTATAAATCATGAACTAGTTTTAAAACATAAACCGGTTCCGAACTAGTTCAACTTAAATACAGCAGTTTGATTTTTCGAACTGAACCAGTTTAAACCAGTTCGATTCGGTTTAAGGAAAAAACTGGTTCGGATGGAACCACCGTACTTACAATACAAGTCACATTCCTAAGGTATCAATAGTTAATGCAGCATTCAAACAAAACTTGCCCAGTTCAGTTGACATACTTAACACCACCAACAAAAACAAGAAAATGGCAAACAAACTAGGAAAATTTTCATAAATTTCACCTACACAGTTCATATTGTATAACAGAAGGGTAAATTTTTAAAAAACATAAAATAAAATTAAAACTTCAACTTTACTCAATTTTTCAATCTTCCCCAATTAGGTAACCGATTGTACAAATTGAACGTTTCATGAGCCAGTCGTTTTGAATTGATAAATGGTAACAGGATTGGGTACATGACGGAGTAAATAAAAATTGATATAATTCCGTTATCAAATTGAAACGATGGCTAATGGAATTCAAAATCGACACAATCAGGAAGTTAATGGGATGAATTGCTACAATCGAAAACCTAGAGAGAGAGAGAGAGATCTGACCTGAAGACCGGCACGAGAAGAACGAGAAGTGGGTTTCTTCTTGTCCTTGTCTTTGTTGTTGGTTGAGGTTATCAAACCCTTCGCACCCTTCCCCGACATCTTTTCCCGCCAAAAAGACAACCACAATGCAGAGAAAAACCCAAACCAAAGGGATCTATCTGATCCTGATCTTAACCCTCTCACTTCCAAACCCTTAACCTTATTTATTCAAAACTCCACTCCCTTCTTCGACCCTTTCTACTTTATTTTAAATTACATATTCTACCCCTGCTTTTTACACTAATGTTGCACTTAAGCCATCTATCACTCTTTCCTTTTACTCTTTTTTTTCTCTTTTTTTTGGCTTTTATAAATGGGTTTAAAGTTCTTCGTGAACATAAATTTATCTACTACACACATTTTTACATGTGAGAAGAGAAAATGAGAAAATATGGGTTTCACACACTTTTATGAATGTAAAAGATAAATTTATCTCCTATGAAACAATAAACCCTTTATAAATTATCTAATTATCTTGTCCTTTTCTTTTATTTTCTACTATTCATTACATCATTTAAATTTTTTCTAAAATATTATTCTTATGTTACTTTTTAAATTATTTGAAGGTAATTTAGGTTTTTTTTTTACCAAATAATTGTGTTTCACGTCAAAAAATTATTTATTTAATTGACTTTTTGAAAAATATTTTAAATTAATGTGATCAATCCCACGTGTTAAATGTACGGTACAAGTCTTGCACGTCAATAATGTGGAATTTAATGTCAGTGTGGAAGTTCTGTATTGATCATGTCGGACTTTATGTCCCGCACGTTGACCATATGGGACTTGATGATAGTGTGTAGTCTTGCGTTTACAATAAAGTCTTGTATGTTTATAACGTGAGATTGACACGCTAGCATTAAATTCGTATCATTAACATGGGAGATTTATTATCACCATATGAGATTTATTCCCTATGATCACATCGGAATATCTTTTACAAACTAAATTAAATAAGTATTTCTTGTTTTGAAAAAAAAAAAAGTCTGGTATGGTAAAAAATCTATTAAGTTATGGTTTACGTTTTGAAGGATAAATTTGCAAAAAAAAACTATTTCAAGATGTTGCCACCATAAGTGTTCTTAAAGAATTTATGCATCCAAATTCTTGATACAGATACTCCCATCTAATACCCAAAAAATGAATGAAAAATCCTATCCAAATAGAAAAGATAAAAAGACATCATCAAGTTTACAACTAAAAGCACGCTAAATAAGGATAGAATATTAACCGTCGGTGTAGTATGATAGTCACATATGTAACCCAAAGGGGTTCGATAATTAATATAGGAGTGTCTTAGACAGTAGTAATATGAATTAAGAGTGACCCAGAGGTCCCTATGTAGTGTGTATTAATGGGGGTGGGGGGGGGGGGGGTTTTGTGTGTGTGTGTTAGTGATTATAATGGCTCTCTATGTTAACATGGTAACAACTCATACAATAATAATATCGGCACTCTATAATGTAGAATGAGGGGTATTTATAGATCTAACGAGGGAGAGGAAGATAAGGAAGTCAATTATCATGGGAAAAAGCCAATGTTACCTGACCTTGCAGGCAAGGCACTTTGCAGCTATTGTAATGCATATGGCAGTTGCTGTGCAGGGAGACAAAAGGGATATATTTTAGATGTCTGGAGAGGTAAAATGGATGGAAGAATCTCCTAACGTAAGACATTTTGGTGTCTTACTTTGGGATATCTAGCAACGGTGCAGATGAAAATAGACCTAACACGGCATAGATGGTAGGGCTGAGGTGGCTTGATTCTTTGATAGTGGGCTATTCTTATTGGGCCAATTAATTAGGGGTCAGCCAGAATAAAATCATTTATCCGACATTTAATTGATAAGTGATAGAACCACTAATCCTATCGTCCAACGGTTCCATTCCAGGGTGGATTTTAACCTACATATAAATAAAGGGCTATTACATACTTTATGCCATTTACTTTCTTAGTTATCATTGTACACACACATCACACCTTCAACTATATGCCATTACACTTCATGCACGTTGATCTAAAATCGCTTGCGATATCTCCTCCCTAGACTCCAGCAAATATGCTAATCCGAGATAGGGGGTTTATAAGTGATTATAATGGTTCTCTATGTTAACATGGTAACAACTCATACAATAATAATATCGGCACTCTATAATGTAGAATGAGGGGTATTCATAGATCTAACGAGGGAGAGGAATATAAGGAAGTCAATTATCATGGGAAAAAGCCAATGTTACCTGACCTTGCAGGCAAGGCACTTTGCAGCTATTGTAATGCATATGGCAGTTGCTGTGCAGGGAGACAAAAGGGATATATTTTAGATGTCTGGAAAGGTAAAAGGGATGGAAGAATCTCCTAACGTAAGACATTTTGGTGTCTTACTTTGGGATATCTAGCAACGGTGCAGATGAAAATAGAGCTAACACGGCAGAGATGGTAGGGCTGAGGTGGCTTGATTCTTTGATAGTGGGCTATTCTTATTGGGCCAATTAATTAGGGATCAGCCAGAATAAAATCATTTATCCGACATTTAATTGATAAGTGATAGAACCACTAATCCTATCGTCCAACGGTTCCATTCCAGGGTGGATTTTAACCTACATATAAATAAAGGGCTATTACATACTTTATGCCTTTTACTTTCTTAGTTATCATTGTACACACACATCACACCTTCAACTATATGTCATTACACTTCATGCACGTTGATCTAAAATCGCTTCCGATATCTCCTCCCTAGACTCCAGCAAATACGCTAATCCGAGATATAATTACCAACATTCAGTTGAAAAGTCTCAATCTTCCCGGATTGATAAAATTTAAAATTTTATTCTTAAATTAAGAAAGTTATATAGTATTTCTAAATATAAATAGAAGGTCATTGAAAACTTTGAGAGTAATTTATTATTTTACTTTTATTTGTAAAAAATCTTGAATTATAAAATATTGACTTAGAATAAAAAAATATCATTTTTCGCATGTATCCTAACTGTGTCATCTGAGCAAACTTAACATGTTTTAATAGCCGTTTGGATGGTTTTTTTTCTATAAAAAAATGTTTTTTTTTCAAAAAAAGTCATTTTGGGTTATTTTATACTTTGCATAGCAACTTTTAAAAAAATTAGAATTAAAAAGAGAGAGGTTAAAACAGTGCTTTTTTTGAAATCAAGATTTCTTGCTTTTCAAAAAAAGAAAAAGTTAAATAATTTTTTGAAAATTTAATTTTATCTTCACTCCAATTACTCTAACTCGTTACCACCACTACCATCACATACAATTTTTAGTAATTTTATATAAAAAAAATGCTTATTAATTTTAATATGCAAATAACTTTTTTAATTTAAAAATACTTTTTATGTGTTTCATTCAAACGTGAAATAACTTTAACTTAAAAAAAGTATTCTAAAATAAACATGGCATAAAATGTTTTTTTTTTTTTTTCAAAAAATTCAGCTAAACGGCTCGTTAAATACTAATAGGAAAGGTTGGGTTACGTAAGTTACTTATTTTAAAAATGTTTGGTGTTTATAATTTTAAAAGACAGAGAATAGTGTTTCCTTAAGTAAGAGAATTAGATAAACAATAAAAATCATGGAGTAGAAAGTAAGTGATTTTTTTTAATTTAAATTTTAAATAAAAAATATTAATTTTAATTAAAATGGTCATCCTCTAATTGGACAAACTTTTTTCATTTTAAAACTAACCTTTTTATTTTTGGCAATAACCTTTATTAGTTTTTTTTATGGATTTAATGTTTTTAAAAGTTATTTTAGATAACTTTATCTAATGTTTATTACGCAAAGAAGTATGTGGGGTCCATGTGATTCTATATGAAGAGAAGAGAGAAAAAGAAAATATCGATCACACATATATTTTTGCATGTATTTTAATAAACATTAGATAAAGTTATCTAAAATAATTTTATAAATTTTAAAACTTTTTTTATTACGTGAATAAAACATCGTAGTTCAGTATTCAGCATTATCACTGGCATGGATTGCGGGCAGAGTTAACGCGGTGCACGGTGCCTTACAGGCTTACACCTGTATTTTATTATAAGACTTTGCAACAATGACGAAGGCCAAATGTGTTAAAATAAATTGCATTCGATGATATATATATATATATATATATATATATATATATATATATATATATATATATGGGGCAGGTTATATTTACAATTTTTTTTTGTTTACAAACTCTTACAAACTACACTATGTAGGACCGGTCTTACATTAATCACACAATGTACGACCGGTCCTACATTAGTGTAATTGCAAAAAAAGTTTGTAAACGAATTATGTCCCTATATATATATATATATATATATATATATATATATATATATATATATGAGATAGGATCCTTTGACACTTTATCTGAGAGTCGTTAGATCAAAAAAGATCAATGGTATCACACGCTTACAAATCAAAGTCGTTGATCTTTTTTTATCTAACGGCTCTTAGATGAGGTGTCAAACTTTAAATTTGACACCAGTGTCAAATGATCTGCCTATATATATATATATATATATATATATATATATATATATATATATATATCATTTGATTACATTTTAAATCGTAATAGTTGATTTTATCATGCAGTCCATTAATTACAAGTGATTCAATGATAATTAATAGAATGTTTCTTTTTTATACATAAAAAATTTAAATGAGATTAGAGACAAATATTCCACCCGGTCAGGTCAGGGCAAAATCTCTTTGAAAATATCTGGTAGGGAATATAAATTGTTCCCTCACACAAAATAATAAAAGTATTTATGTAAGCTTCACACATAAAGTAAATAACTTTTTACTTTAAAAAAATGAATTTCTTGTTCATAAGAACAAGATGAGTAGTGCGGAATTTTCAATCGTAACATCTTAATTACTCAAAACGTAAAATATTAAATGAAAAGTTATAATTGAAATATATTTAAAATCTAAAGCATACCTGATATTTTATTCTTTAAGTATTTATCAGGATTATTATGTTGATTCATCAGGGATATTTTTAAGTTTTTCTTACACCATAATGTCATGCATTTTGGAGAAAAATGCAAAATTTACATCTTTTATTCTAATGTGCAGGTTAGTCTGAAATTTTGAAAAATACAGCGTAACTCTAAAATTGTTCAACTTCAACATATGCGAAATGGTCCCGCATGAACTCCTGATTTTATACAAAACTTGACGAAAATTATTCCTCCCAGATCTAAACACGTGAAAAAAAAAAAAATTCCTGTCAAATTTGGAATATTCAACGTATCAAAACCATATGAGATTACACACAATTTTCAAGAGTATCCTATACGTTTTTAAAATTAAACACCGAACTGCAGATCGCTTAACGTTGATTTCGAAGCGGGTCCATTGGACTTCCCATTACTTTTATTAAAAGATAAGATACAATTACCTTTTTCAACACAATTCAATCAATCTAGAGAGCGGTTGCTGTATTTAAAGTGAATTAAATTACACGACGCTCCAAGTCAACGTTCTGATAATCGGTGGGTCTACTGAGAATAATTGAAGAAGCTAATCCGAAACATTTTTTTTTATAGAAAAATGACACTGATATCCGAAGTATAATGCAAAGTATTTAACATTTGATGTTGATATTGAAAATTACAATCATATAAAATGAATCAATAATTATAATTTTATAATTATTTATTTTAATATTTTTTTTTTCTATTATAATTTATCTACTTTTGTATGATTATGATTCTTAAATTCCTCGTCGTATGTTTTTTTTAATCATAGCACAGGACACCTCAAACTCAAACCATCTTAATCAACGACAGCTCAACCGCGTGCTCACTGGCCCCATGCCCTCAATTCTTAACGGCAAATCAAACATTGACTTCGAAAGGAAGTGATGAGAACGCAAATAATTTAAACATTGGAAAAAAAAAAAACAAAAGCTTCTATTTCTCTAGCTTCGATGCTTCGCTATATATCAATATCATTTAATCTGATTTACGGCCATCAACAACTCGACGACCATGTCAACAAAACTTCACTTATCATCGTTCTTCATCGTTTCCTTATTTCTGCACCTTTCCTTCCACTCCAACGCTGACGTTGGTACCGCTACTAGTTACTCTCCTCCATATTTACGTAAGTAATCAACCACATCTCATTGATTAATCTTCATTAATTCTCTAAAACCATGTACATATATATTGTTCAATATCCAATTAGCTCGTTCTTGTGTATATATACACTTAATTAAATGCATGTATCATGTATAGCGTCGGAGTGTTACGGCAGCGACGCCACACAGTTCCCGTCGAGCAATCTATTTGCGGCAGCCGGAGATGGAATATGGGATAATGGAGCGGCGTGTGGGAGGCAGTATCTGGTGAGGTGTATTAGTGCAGAGCAACCTATGACTTGCATTCCCGACCAGAGCATTCAAATCAAGATTGTTGATTACGCCGCCTCTGCGGTGTCGCGGCCGTTAGTTGGCGGCACCACCATAGTTTTATCCGATACAGCATTCGGGACCATTGCCAATATATCTGCCGGCTTGATAAATATAGAATTTCAACAGTATAATCTTGCTCTCCCTTTTGCTTATTTTTATTTTTATTTTTTTTGTATTTAGATTAAAAACAAATTGCTATTTATGAATAGTTTGATGCAAAATGGTGTCATATATATATACTAATGAATATCTTTGCGTCCAGGGTCTGATATACTAGTCACATGTATGTGCTATGAAGATGAAGTTGAATTGGTGTCAATTCTAGACTCGGAAAATTGACAAGAGAATTATTCTTCAAAAGAGAAACAATATTCATCCGGAAGGTGCCTGCCTTCAATTTGATCGATGTATTATTGTTATTATTTATTTATTTGTTTGCAGTACAGAATTCAATTTTATTGTTATTATTTTGAGAAAGTGTATGTGCGTGTATCTTCGTCGGTTTTGTTTTGTTTTTTATTTTTTTATTTTGGAATTTTCTGACAGCCTGCATCACTCGTTCAGCGCATTTGGGGATAAAGCTACCCGCGGGAAATTTCCTCGTCGCTTCTGTCCTCGAAAGCGTCTTTGACCGTATTTGATGCCATGGCAAATGTACGGATAAAGAAAAAACTTTAATGCACGGAAGTACTAAATTGATACTCATTTTTACTAAAAAAAATAAAAAAATTGGAGAATAATGTGGGTAAAATAATATTCCCGATACATTTAAGTTTTTCTGGTTTGGAGAATAATGTGTTTGATTAGATTTTAAAAGGAATTTTCTTTTACTAATATAATTTTTTATAAACTCTTTCTGAAGTTATATTTTTAGTTTTTGAAAAAAAAACAATTGAAATGATTTTTTGAGGTTTTTAATTTAAAAAAAGTAATTATTATAAATTTTCTAAAAAAAATTTAAGCTCAAACAAGTGGACTCTGATTGGTTGTAAAAATAGCACTTCCCCTCCTCACTCTATGTGTGATTTTAAACAAATAATCATGAAAGTGTCTCTCTTCGGAACAAACTGTAAATTTTTCTTACTTTCGGGAGCTATAAGTAAAAATAAATAAAAAATAACCCACACGTGTTCTGTTGATTTTTGTTCTACAAATTAAAAATCATATATTATATTATATTTATAAATTAAATTATTTATAAACTCTTATAATAAAATTTGAACCGATGATTTCCTTCAATTTAATGATTATAATTTATTAGATTAAATTTATTAATTAATTATTAATTTTTAATAAATCATAATCGTTAGATTGCCAGAAATCAAAGATTAAGATTTGGTTATAAAAGTTTGAAAATAATTTAGTTTGTAAATATTGTTGGTCTGGTCCTAAGTGAACTTAAGAGAGGTGAATTGAGTTTATTGAAAAAATTTCAATTTAAAAAAAAAAACACAGTTGCAATAAAATAAAGAGGAAAGAGAAGAAGTGACAATTATTTTAACGTGTGAAAAACTCCAACGGGAAGAAAAAGATCCACTATTCCAATTTGGAGACAAATATATTACCTATAAATTCAAAGTACAATAATAAACTATATTCTACCCTTATACAAGAATTAAGCGGAAACCTTATCGAAGGTTTCTGAATCCCTACCCCTAGGATTCTCACGGAGTCTAATCAAAGACTCTCCGAAGCCAAATGACTCTCGTCTTTATTCACACTAAAGACCGACTTATTTCTTAGCCATGACCTTTTCCAAGGCAAGAAGGAAATTTAATTAAATTTGGTTACCTTACATGCTTCTAAAAATAAGCAAATAGGTACAAATAAAACTTAAGTGGTGGACTCAATGATTCTGCTCATGCCTTGGTTCCCAAATTGTTTTGAATGCGCCTTAAGAAGAAATACTCGTAATATATGCTCATTGCGCTTTTTCTCTTGAATGCTATAAACAAAAATTATCTTGAATGTTCAAAAACCTTTTTCTTTTGAATGTTCAAAAAATAAAAAAATTCTCTTGAATGCTCAAAAGTTTTTTTCTCTTAAATGCTCACCTATGCTTTGAAAAATGAGTCAATGACTCAATGTATGATATTTATAGACTTTTTCTCAAAATTAATTACTAAGGAAAAATTTTAAGATTATTATGATTTTTAATAAAACTTTTCAAAATATCTTTTTAGAAAAAAAATCAAAACATTCAAATTAACTTTCCAAAATTAGATAAATTCAAATCAAAGATTTTAGTAAGGAAATTAATCTCAAATTAACTTTTTGTTTTTATCAAAAACCAAATCTTAAAAATCTTTCTGGATTAAAAATAAAACTTTTAAATCTTCTTTCCTTAGTTTCCAAAACTTTAAAGATTCTAACCTAAGGCAGAATCAGGATTCACCTCATCCAACCATTACATAAAATCTATTTTGCAACTTCGTTCTTCACGATTTCAGGAAATGGATCCTCCTATGTGGAAAAAAACATAATATGGTCATGTGGGAAGATAACAATCATACAAAGGTAAATCAACGGTTATGATTTTGTAACTATCTATTTTAACATTTTTCTCTCTCCTCCTTTATTACCATTGATCCACCTTTGTATGATTATGATTCTCCACATGACATGGTCATGTGAATTTTCACATGAGAGGATCCAGATCCATGATTTCATGACAATTTTGTTGCATTATCTTCATCATAATTAATCACAAATTATTCAAAAACTAAACAAACTATTAGATGATTTGACTTCACTTGTTTGTTATCATCAAACCTAAACAAGGTGTGGGACCCAACAAATATAACCCTTCCTATCTATGATGCACGGACACGGACACGGGACACGACACGCCGACACGTTAATTCTAAAAAATGTCATATTTGGACACGTTGGGACACGTTTTGATATTAAATAAAAATTTTAATATATATGATATGATTTATATTTAACACATATAAGAGTCCATAATAAGTCGTATAACCACTTAAATATTTAAATTTCATAACATAAATATAAATATAAAAAAAAATTCGTAGTTTGTTAATTTTTAATGTCAAATTTTATAACAGAAAAAAATTAATTTATAAATTATTTCTTTTATATTTAGTTAACAAAATAAAATTAAGATTTAAAAAAATAAATAAATAACGTGTTCGAGCGTGTCCGATCAACCCGGCGGGCTAAGCCCGTTTTGCCATCCCTAACCGTCGGCCACCACTAACAACCACCACCGATCAACCTTTACTCACCACCACCAACCAGCCACCACCCCTAACCACCAAGTACCAATCGTCACTGCCACTACCACTGCCACCTCTAGTCATCACGGCCACCGCCCACAGCCATCAATTGGCCACCACAATTGTCACCTGTCAACATCAGCGTCGCCACCACAACTATTTCCACCAACCACCCACACATGCTACGATTGCACCAACAACTACCACAATCGTCATCGTTGCTATTGGCCACCGGCACCCAATGTCACCAATTATTACTATCGCTATCACCATCACCCATTGTCATCTGCCCCCACAACTAATAGCACCACAATTCAATCGATCACCCACCGCACTAACTAATGTCGCCACCACCCACCAATGTCATTAGTCAACGACCACTAATATTCACAACCAATTTAAAGCTTAACTTTTAAAAATTTAATTGGTGAGGATGTAATTTTAATATTCTAATTTTTTTGAAAGTTTTTTATTTATTTTAATATATTTTATTTTAAATTATGACTTTTAAATTTGTTAATATTTTAAAATAAGGAATAATTGTAAATAGTAAAAAAAAAGTATTTTAAAAATCAATTTTAAAAAAACATATAAAATTCTATTAAAAGGATATTTTTTTCTATTTATATCACATGTGATACGATATGATTCGCCCAAAACATTGGATAAGATAATTTTATCTTATTAGACTAATTATCTTATGCACATCAAACACAGTATAAGATATGAGCTTATCAGGCTCATATCCTATCCAACTCTATCTAGTCTTCTCATTCTATCAAATCATGTCCACCAAACGAGACCTTAATACCAAACAAGTTTTATTTTTAATTCCTAAACAACAATTAAACATTTCTTTTATTTCTTTATTTTCAAATAATTATGAAATCACCAATAATGGACGATATATTCTTGGAACTTTGACCATGTTGCCATGTTTCCCAAAAATGTTGCCACACTACGTGAAAATTTTGCCAAATTGCTATGGCGTTAAACCTGTTGCCAGTTGCAACGGGTTTCTTTTGTCAAATGGCAAATCTCCCGAGGTCACCAAACTCGTTAATGGCAACAACTTTGGTGGTCAAAGTTTGACCAATAATGGACGATATATTCTTGGAACTTTGACCATGTTGCCATGTTTCCCCAAAATGTTGCCACACTACGTGAAAATCTTGCCAAATTGCTATGGCGTTAAACCTGTTGCCAGTTGCAACGGGTTTCTTTTGTCAAATGGCACATCTCCCGAGGTCACCAAACTCGTTGTTAATGGCAACAACTTTGGTGGTCAAAGTTGTCAGAGTGCTTTTTGCAACAGGGACATATAACAGTCAGTCTGAAACTCAGTGTCAGTGGCAGCAAGTAGGGGTGTTAACGGACTGAGTCGGGTCGAGTTTTGGTCTTAAAAGGCTAAGTCTGTGTTTAAATGTGTCAGTCTGACCAAGCCTGTTACCTGTTATGAATATAATTATCATCCTGTGGCCGGATTTATTTACAAAAAAAAAGCCTGATTTAGCCTATTTAAAAAAATAAGACGACAAGAATTTATCCAAACAGAGTATACAATCATTAGCACTAGTAATTTCATAAATATTCATAAATTCAATGTATATCCAAACAACATAATATAGAACAAAATCATTTAAAAAGTCGATTTAACCAATAAAATGGAGTGAAATGGATTGAGGAGAGAGAGGGGGGCTATTACAACTTACAAGTATGTTAAAAAATGACGTCGTATTGCGATTGAAATATTAAAAAAATTATAATTATAAAGACTATAATAACCCTGAAATAAATTAAAATTACAAAAATACCATGATTTTCGCCCCAAAACGACGTCGTATTGAGCTTACTGCAGATAACTTATATGCAGTAACTGCAGAAAAAACGAACCCTATTATTATTATCTTGGAAAAAATATTTATTCTTTTAAAAGATAATTATTTTAATTAAAATTAATATTTTTTATTTCAATTTAAATAAAAAAATCACTCATTTTCACTCCCCATAATTTTCAATATATATTTATTTATCTCACTTATAGGGCCTGTTTGGAGCACCTGTAAAGAAGATAAGATATGATAACTTATCATACCCTATTTTTATCTCTTGTTTGGTGAGTCAATAGGATATGATTAGTTTATTCTATTGTCTCGTTTTATCCTATCCAATACATGATCTCTTAACCTATGGGGAGAGCTGGGTTAGGATTTAACATGATAGGATACTAATATTAGATACCCAATATATCCCCACGCTACCCAATATATTTGTATTTATTGTATTATATTTTGTTTTTTCTTTCTCCTTTCTCTTTCTACGTAATCTTATCATCAGGTGCTCATCAAACACAGAACATGATATCGACTTATCAACCTCATATCATATTTTATTCTTATCAGTCCCGTATCATATCCTGTGCACCAAAGCAGCCTACAAAACACAATTCTATATCTTTGAACTAACAAATATCAAACCGAATCATAGTTATGGATTCTTTACTACAAACTATCATTGCTATCGGAGCAGTTGCCCCCACCACCATTATTGATACCATTAAACAAAAATTTTATTCTCGAAACAATTATAATTTTTTTTTTTTATGTTTTTGTTTTATAATATAATTTTTTTTTTTTTTATAACATATAATATAATTTTAAAATACAGGCGCAAGATGCCTTTTTTTATTTTATTTTAATTTAATTAGGTCAACAAAGGAAGTAAAACAAAAAGAAGAAAAGATGAGAATTCAAACGTCAAATAGTACGTTTTGCAATTACCATCAAGTTTCCATTTATAATGTAAAGTTAAAGAATTAAGCACACAAAAAATCCAAGACAGTACTTTGGGACTTTTCCATTTATTATTATCATTGAAGATAAGCATTGCCTCTGTATTGTTATAATCGATATTCGAGAGAGGAATCAATTGTTTCTGATTCACCAAGGGACCCCTCCGAATTCCGCTGTAAATTCAGGTACCTTATTATTCCAAATTAATTCCATTGACCATTTCCATTTTCAATATTCCATTCAATCCGTCAAGGGTTGAACATGAATTAAAAGCTTGAATCTTATGATTACTCGTGTTGGGTGTTGGGTTCAGTGAGATTGTGTTAGGGTTTCGATTTTCGAAGCTTGCTTGATTGAACAGTGCCCGTTATCCGTTCATCGATGAAAGGGGAAGTACAGCTTCAGCCTCCACAGGTTCTGCAAAACCCTAGTGATTCCGACCCTTTACTCGATAACCAGGAGGAAGATGAGTCACCAGGAGGCTCTAGTGAGATTAAGGATGAGGAAGACGTCGAGGCTGGCTTACTTCCTTGTTGTCGAATTTGCCTCGAAAGTGATTGCGACCCAGGTGAAAATTCGTGCAAAAGTTTTCAAATTTATGCTAATTTTTCTCATTTCTGGTTGGAACTCGATGCAATTGTTAACTTGTGAACTATGGGTATTTCATTCGTAGAAAGAGTTCTTCACCCCTATGTAAATTTATTTCCTTAAATAATCGAATAAGGACTTAATAAGACAGAGTTTAATTTAAAGCATAGGTCTTAATTTCTTTTTCCTTTATCAATCGTGTTTGTAAAACCTGAAATTGGTCCCTGTTGTGGTCTTTGTTGCTTCCCAACATGATATGGCTTTGATTGTTCTGTACAACAGAAAACCAATGTCATGTAACTTCAACTTCCCATTTTATTTTGCTTGACTTCCGAATTAAAAGTTGGTACTTTAATAATGCTTGTTCTACTCACCATAATTAATAATGGAGCCTGAAATTGGAAAAATTTAGCTCTTGTAGTATGTTAAGGGTGTATTTGATTATGTAATGCTTGATAATATTTTCATTTTAATCGGTGTTGGTTAGTTGAAGGAAAATTTTGGTGTTTAGTAAAGTAAACTAGGCTAAGGGAAAGCAGGAAACTATTGTTCTTTAGTAAATTGAAAGGTTTGCCGTTGAATGCATGCATTTACCTTACATTTCTGTATGCTGAATGTTTTAAACATTTTTCATTTAAATTTAAAAGACAACAGAACATTTTCTATGTTGAACTTTCTCTTTTTTGCACTAAATCAATAATGTGATTAGAAGAGGACCAATTATCGTCAGCGTTAAGCAAAAAAAGGTAAAAAATGAAATGATGATCAAGTTTTTTCTCATTGAGACTATGTCATATCCTTTAGCATGACACTGATCCTGTTCAATTCATCAGATAAAACTCTATATGATGTTGGCAAAAAACAATTGGTGTTATTAATTTTGTGGCGCTAGTTTCCCTAAACCTAATGGTCATGCGATTTTGTAGAGCATGAATTGATATCTCCATGCATGTGCAAAGGGACCCAACAGTTTGTCCATCGTTCATGTCTTGATCACTGGCGCTCAGTAAAGGTATATATTTTGGCTCTGGTCTTGATGTGTAATTTTAACTGCCAGTTTCGTCTGGATGAGATCAAATGATAATTTGATAAGCCTTTTTTTTTTTGCTTCATAGGAAGGATTTGCTTTCTCACACTGCACCACATGCAAAGCCCAATTTCATCTAAGAGTGGAATTGTTTGAGGACAACTCTTGGCGTAAAATGAAGTTCAGACTTTTTGTGGCAAGGGATGTTTTTCTTGTTTTTGTGGCTGTACAAACTGTGAGTAATTTTAACTTTCTTCCTTATCCTTTCATATTGAATGATTACATTTTCATTGCTTTTATTAAGTCAGTTTCAATTCAATCTAACATGTGGTATAGAAGCTCTTTTTTCAGAAAGGAGTTGTTTAGCTTATGGGATTGTTAAACTGAACTTTCATATCAGTATTTGGTCAGCATAGTATCCATAAATATTAAAAAACAAAATATTCATCCTTCAAGGGCCTAGTAATAGTTAGATATGGACATCATGATTATGCTGGTATCAATATGGTAAGGAGGGAAATATCTAATATACTATTGTCCCACCATTTGTTTGGTGCTACCAGCCAATAGAAATCCATAAATGACTGTAATATTTGTACAGATAGGAGAGAGAAATGTTTTTGTTATCCAAATGTCAGTTGCTCAATGGAAGAGTTACCTACTACAGTTGTATGGAAGATGTTCTTGGTAAGGAGATACCAATTGACATAAGATGGGAGAATTTCAGTTTCATAAGGGCTCAAATTATTGGGATTTTTTCTGTGGTGACGACATATTGACATGCATAGCTAATAAGGGGACCGGTTTGTCACTGTTATATGTATTCATATTTTTGCTCTCTTTCCTTGCTTGCTACAATGGTAATATAAGGCCTCTTAAAGAATTTCTTTTTTTTAGTGCTTTTAGTTTGGTTTTAATTTAAAAAAAAAAATGTTTTTAAAATTATTCTGGGATGGATCTGTCTATTCTTTTGGCATGTATTGTCATATTGAGTAAGGTTACAGGACGTATCTTATTTGCAAGTATCTATTTATTTTCCAGGTGATTGCTGCTATTGGTGGCTTTGCATACATCATGGACAAAGATGGGACCTTCAGGAACTCATTTGACGATGGTTGGGATAGGATACTCTCAAAGCATCCTATACCATTTTATTATTGTATTGGTAAGCTATTATGGCTACTGGAGTTATTTGTTTTTACTTTTTACCATTCGCTGAAATTCCTCTGCATTTTTTTTGCCATGAAATTTTCTGAAATTGGGGAACCATATCTCTCCATATTATCTGAGGCATTTGTAATCTGCTTTGATATTTTCCTTGTTCTTCATTTTTAATGTTAATCCCCAAAGAATATTGCCAATAACTTATTGGCCATCATGTATCTTAGTGGGATCTAGATCCTCTCATCTTACATTATAGTCATGCTGGAGAGAAAAAGACTCATAACCAGACACCCAAGTTGGATTTGAATTTTACCCAAAAAAGAAAAATCATTAAAATGAGAGAAACCAAATCCATCAGGGAAAAAATCATTTATTTGAGAAAATTATTTAACAACTAAGTTTTATTGCTTTGGGGGAGGGAAAAAAGAAACGTGTTATGGGGGAAACTGGAAAGTTATCTTCAATTGAGTTGCTTATTCTCATGAGGATTTTTTTTTTTGCCCCCTTCCCCCTCCTCTTCTAAAACAGTTCAACTTGTAATATATCAAAGCTGTAATTGTTAACTATCTAATCAGATTTCATTCATTGTATCTACTTTGATATTGATGGAAATAATTTTTAAAAAACTCAAGCTTATGCTTCCTGTTAATTTTTCTTTCTTTCTGATGGTTTACATCAATATACCAGGAGTGCTGGCCTTCTTTGTACTGATTGGATTTTTTGGTCTCATACTGCATTGCTCCTCCCTTAATTCCAATGACCCCAGAATGGCTGGTTGTCAGAACTGTTGTTATGGATGGGGCATCTTGGATTGCTTTCCTGCATCAATGGAGGCGTGCTTTGCCCTTGTGGTTGTTTTCGTTGTCATCTTTGCAATTCTTGGTATAGCTTATGGTTTTCTTGCAGCCACCATGGCCATTCAAAGAATTTGGCAGAGGCACTACCATATCCTCACCAAGAGGGAGCTTACAAAGGTAATATCATAGTGCTACATTGAAGGTCCATGTTGTTATATTTTCTACTAAATAAAGTCTATCATCTGAAATGATTTTAATATTTCCTATATCGTTTCATACTCTGTGTCTGACACCAATTCATGTTACTTTGTTGGTATTCACAGGAATACGTAGTAGAGGATCTTCGTGGCTGTTATTTCCCACCAAAGTTGGACCCAGAACATGAAGGTCGCTTGAAAATGCTTAAGCTTTTGTGATTCGCGGAGCACATACCTGTAAAAATGTGTTTTTGAATGATTTAAGTATCGAGGAGTTGTTTTATTTGACAGTTACAATCTCTTATGCTTAGCAACCTTGTTTGCTAGAGCTTGGAAATGTTTTATATCATCGTTTTTTTTACCCAATCTGGATCCTTACCAGATTTCTGTATCCTGCAAATCTGACTCCTGTAAAAAAATTAAAAGGAAAATATATGCAGTTATTTGTCCGTCCACAGGACTTAATTTTATCATCGCAGTTATGATATCTAAGGCCGGAGGCATGGTAGTTAAAATTTCAATTTATCACTTTGATTTTACGTTTTTTTTTATCAAAATGATTTTACTAATATTCCAAACGTTTTTATGTTTTTTTTTTTATGATTTTGCTATGTTATTATATTTTATGATTTTTTATTCTCTTCCGATTTTATGTAGTGCCGTGACTGGTGTGGCCCGTTGAGCTTTCCGTACCCAAACTCAATTTTTAAACCTGCATAATCCCTTATTTCTACTTGACAAAAAACCCTGCCTTGCTCACCGTTACTTTCTTCATAGACTGTAATTGTCAACTTATAAGTGTGTAAAGCTTTCTGTCAAGGAATTAGAAGAAAATTTCCAGCCTAAAAGAAACAGAAGGGAAACATACAAAGTGGAAATGAAGAAATAGGAGGAGGAGGCCCATGAGTAGAAGGTGAAATTATTTTCATTTTGCATCCCAACGAAAGAAAGCACAGGAAGATTTACAATTGAGAACAGAAGAGACCGAAAAATAAAAATAAAAATAAAGATGTTATATGCATGCTATAGAAGCACATCGTTCGTGGGTGTAGGTGTAGGACCATTGGACTCTAGGCCTAGCACCCTACCAGCACTAAGGAAAACAAGATGGTCACCATCTCTAATCACCTTTATATCTTCAATTTCAGCTCCATCTATGCAGACAACCTTAGCAGGACAGATACCAAATTTCTTAGCTCCAATCTCAAGTAGCTCTTCAAAGCTTTCAGGTAGTAATACAAGCTTCCCAGCAACCTCACCCTTTTCAGGGCAACTAATTTTTACTCTAGTTGGACAAACCCTACTACTCTTCATACCACCATTCCTTGCATTGTTATTAGTGTTAACAGAGAAAAACAGGTCCTTCTCCCCTTTGTGTGCTGTTGACATTATCCCAAAGAGAGAGTTATGGAAGTTATTGCTCCTACGCCTTGGACGGCTTTGGCTCCAAGAGCCATCTGTTCCCTGAAATGAGCCATCATGGGATGATAAGGGCATCGTTGGCTCACTTGTAAATCTGCCAAGGTACCTTATCTTACTCTGCCTCTCAGGAATAGCAACAAAAGATTGAACCTTAGGCTCCCCAGTGGACTCAAAAATGGCTTTAATTTCAAGATGTCCCTGCTGCTCTGCTAGATCTCTTGGGGTCCAACCTTGCTTGTCTGGTTTGTCAATGTTAGCCCCGTGATCCAAAAGGAACTTCACAATCTCAGCATTGTCCTCGGAGACTGCAACGTGCAAAGCTGTGGTCCCAAGGTTGCTATTAGGAAGTGTGATATCTCCTCCACAGCGCATTATGTCCTTGAGCAAGTTGAGATTGTTCTGTTCAGCGGCAGTGCATGCAAATTGACCTACATCACCGTACTGCAAGTTGGCTCCATTTTCTACTAACAGCTTGCTCACTGATTCATGTCCACCCAATATAGCCTCCCATAGTGGAACATTACCATCAGAATCTGCACGTAAGTTAAACGGTATGAAGGGTCTTTTCTTTTTTCTTTTCCTCATCTGACTAAAAGAAGGTAATGGTTTGAAGCAAATTCTTGGTTTTATCCTATATTCATGTATTAGTAGTTTCTACTTGATGAGAACCTCAGTCATCCAACTGGTTCATCAGATATAAAGGGTGCAAATTACAATTTAAGCATTCCATGCACGTGGTAAGGACTTTGTAGTATGAAATGTAGATCTTAATAGTTTTCTTTTATTTTGTGGGTGTGTGAGTCATGGATAAAAAAGTAGTCAACATCAGTGTGGAAAGGGCTGTGGGTTTTGAATACGGTTGGTAATGACAAGAAAGATATCTTGATAAATCCTTAGGATGCATCATACACAGGAACCTGATCCTACTTAGATGGTGACTTCTACAATCTTTTGTTTACAGGTTAAATAAAACCATGTATACACCAACACCCCCAAAATAACTACATTTTTAATTAAATTTTTTATTATAACTTGTTATTAGGTAAGCATATGGCCATAACTTGTTATTATAACATGTTAATTTACAATGAGTATGTTGCTGACTATTAGAGACTTATAATAGGAAGGAGAAGATTCGTGCATGATGGAGACTCTACCCTATAATTAAGAAATGCATAACTTATTCTATTATTTCATTGAAAAGACTTTTATATTTTTATTTTCCCTTTCAATTCCATGTGTCTTGCTAAGAGCCAATATGAAAGGCCAGTGACAACGATAAACAAAACTCAACGAAGAAAGCCAATATAAGGATCAATAATTTAGTTTATAATTCATTATTTTTTGAAAGCAAACCCAAATTTGAATTGAGATCCTTGCGTCCTCATTAGGTACAGTATGGTTGGTCTTATGCTAATCAAATAAGAAGATAGCCTTGTTAAAGTCCTGATACAGAAAAGTTATGTTGGTTTTTATAAGAAAACGAATCACAGACAAAATTGGCCACATAAGCTTATTAAACGAGTTAAGAAGATAGGCAAATAAGTCAGTGATTATTTATTTAAAAACCGTTCATACTGAGGCTTGAGCAGTGGGACTAACGTCCAAATCTGGCAGAAATAAAATAGTTGACTAGTATAGAAATGCTTACTCATAACTTTGAAATCCTGTCTAAGCTGTAATTGTCATGCCTAAAAGTATTTGATCTTCCACAGTTCATCAAATCGGTTAGTCTTGTATATGTTCGTTCGTTTCTATACCTATAATTCTTATTGTTTGATTTTATAACTTCATATAATATTATAACCAGAAAAATTGAGGAAATAAAAGAAGAAAAGCATGGATAAAGATAAAATCAAGAGGAATTAATTAAATTTGATTTACTAAAGAAGTAGCTAAGAGGGAAGAAATATCTACCTCTGATGTTGGGATCTGCCCCATAATCCAACAGAAGCAAAACACAATTCTCACTTCCTTTAGATGCTGCTATATGCTGATTTTGCAGAACAATGAAAGGGCACAATATATTACATTTTTTTTTTTAGAAAAACAACCAAAAGAAGATAAAAAAGCATAATTATTCACCCACCAAAGCTGTCCTTCCATTGTTGTCGGATTCATTTGGATCCAAGCCCCGTTTCAGCAATTGATGTAACAACAAATCATCTCCTCTTACAGCAGCGAAACCGAGACTCACTGGCAGGTCCATCCTACCACGGGCTAACATGTTCTCAGTCTCCATCAAAACTCCCTCCATTATTGGATTGTTCAGCTCTTTCAAATGCTGCCCCACATCGACCACAATAAGTTCACATGCATAAATCAATGTCTGTTTTATTGAATGTCCTTGTCTACATAACTATTTTTTTTAACACTTCTTTATGTTTTTTTATGTTTGAATAAGCCTTTTTTTTTAAAAAATACTTCTATCTTAATCATGTAACAAAAACTAAATTAGAAAAATGTGCTTCTCGTTATTCATTGTCAACATGCAATGAAGGGTTATGATGTTAAGCAGACCTGAAGAAGATTATTCATGATTATGGTTCCGTCTCCTACATTGGCCTGAACAATGTTCATGAACGTAGTACGGTTCAGCCTCAATAGCTGGCTTAATCGCTTCGTTCGAACTGTGAAAAGTTGTGGCTTATAGCAAAGCACACCAATCTCACCACAAAGATCACCGGTTTTAGCCTCTCCAACAATCTGAAATAAGTTAGCAGCATTGAGATTCAGTTTCATATCATGTATTCAATCACTTATTCTTATCTTGTATCAATAATGAAACTTGCCTGTTCAACCCCATTTTTAAGAACTAGTAGGTCCTGCCAAATAATTAAGGCATTAGAAATCACATTTTGCAAGATTTCAGAGAAAGAAAAATCTCATTTTTTTGTCGAATTTTGAAAGGCAGGTATAGAATTCACATAAATAAGTTGTTGGATAGTTACCACGGCACCGGTGACTAGTATATAGAAATCAGTAGGGGCTTCATTTTGCAATATAACATCTTCTCTGGGTGGAAAATACTCAGCTTTCATCTCTGACACCTTTCATAGTTGAATCAAACAAAATACAAGAGCCCTCAATGAAAATCAAAGATTAAAATAAATTTTTTAACTATCAATTACGAGCTGAGACAAAATTTTGCAATTACCAATTGAAAGAGCAAGTCATTTGAAACCCCATTAAACAAGTAGACTTTATCCATCAGAGAATAAAAAAGATGATGTGAAATGCTTGATCTTATGGCTTTAGGAAGAGAATCAAGTGTCTCTTGCTGCTGCAACCCTTCTGAGTCTGTTCTAAACTTCAAACACAAGTGAGCAAGCATCTGGTCTTGCAGACGAGCAGGCAATTGGTTCCTTAGAGCAAAACTTGAGGCAGCTTGTATGGTATCCCTCTGAGAATTTATCATAAAGCATAAAAGTTTTACATTTTCCAGAACTAGAAATCAATGACTCAAAAAATGGCCTGATACTTACAAATTTTCGGGTTCGACTAGTGCCATGGACAACTAAGTTGGTCATATTACCAATCAGATATGCTGTTAATCCCAGATTGAAGAGCATGTAAAAGATGTCAAAGATCATCTCCCTTGAATTCACTGGATGCAAATCTCCATAACCAACCGTTGTCAAAGTAGTAATAGACCAGTAAATGGAAGTCACATATCTTTTCCACAAGCTCTGATGAAGGAAATCATCCATTGATGCCCCAATCCACGTCTTTTTGGGATCATGATAACGTGCAGCAATAAGATAATAGAAGCATCCAGCACAATGAACAGCAAAAAGGGTAACCTATAGAAACCACTCAAATAATTAGTCTATTGAACTTGCATCAAATTCATCTTCCTTCTTAGAATGTTATTAGGATAATAAGAAACTTACACAGATAAGCTTAGCACACCGAACCCAAAAATAGTTATAGTTTCTGTCCTTCTCAAGTCTGCCCAAAAAAACATAAAATTTACAGTTATAAGCTACATAACTAAGAAACAAAATATCCATAGCAACTCACTGAAAGCTCTCAACCTTACCGAGAAAACAAAGCACTAACTCTTCGAAGACGCCAAAGCCGAAGCATGTTGAATAGGCCATAAGATTGGATAGGAGCAGGTGATAGCTTTCGAACAAGCTCTGAAGGAATGATAGAGATAACATCGAAGGCCAACCATGTTCTTGCATATTTCCAAGCAATCTGTTTTGGACTATCTACAAACAAATAGGTAGCTTTATCGATGTAAGCCACAAAGAAGGTGAGAACTATATCCACCGCAAAGAATGCATTGACAATATTATCCGTAATGGAAAGTGGTGCTTGTGGTTTCTTAAGGAATCCGAATTCAAAGGGAGATACCCAAGCAGTGTAGACTACCAGAACAACAAGGAACGTTTCCCATGTCCTACAAAAAGCCAACCAATTTTAACAACTTAATAGTTACTCATCTGGTTTAGAAAGCTGCAAAATTTACAATGCTACAGCTATTTGTTCGTAAGGGGAAAACAAAACAGAGAACATAGAAAAGTTTTACACGAAACTAAGTTGCTGTTACGGAGTCAATAACAAAACATGTATTTGGAAATTAGCCCTTGACACTTTTCAGTGGAGAGTCCAAACCAAACTCTTCCATTGCATGCATAGCTACCACCAACCCCTGGTTGTTTCTAAACCAAAGAAACAAAGTCAAACTTTATAGGCTGAATAATGATAGGAGAATGTTCGTGTTTGTTGCTTTGGAAACTCTAATTGAACAAACCAAACCAACACAACAAATTTTGAGGATTGAGGAAGGACAAAGCAAATTATATTTTTGGAAAACTACGGATTTAAGATGGATTGGATAGATCCCAAATGAAGAACATTTTCAGAAACACATGGTGATGAAACTGTTACAAAAAAACAAAGGATAACAAGTAAAAGATAATAAAAGGGAACGAATTTGCTATTTTAGTAATCAGCAGAGTTACAAGAACGGAATGGCTAAAATACTGCCAAAAAAAAAATAGGAAACAAGAAAGGGTATTGAGAATCTAGTAAAATAAAAAACAACAAATAAAAAACAGAAAGGAAAAGAAGTGTAACAGATAACAAGCTTCCGTCAGAAGCAAAGCAATAGAAGCACGTTTCCTTCCTTGTTTCCCCTTTTCTCACTCAACAAGAAAGAAAAAACTTAAGAAAAATAAAAAAAATGTGAAATACTGGAAACCCATATGGTGTCATTGAACCTCTCAGACATGGAAGAAAAAAGAAGGAAAGAAGGAAAGGAACTGAACCGTGAAAATGACACAAAAATAGTGAAATGGGAGTGACTAAGAAGAAGGAACCTGTAACGGCGGTCATAGGGAGATAGAATGAGAGGCCTGAGCTTAACTCTGCGGTTACTTCTGGCTCCGAGAGAGGGTAATATCCCAGTTGAGAGACTGTAATGGCTGCCGTCCCTTGACAATTCTATCTCTTCTTCACCACACATGGACATTGACACCACCATTTTTATTTCTTTCCTTCTATCTATGTATCTTTCTGTTTTCTTTGCTTCCTCTGTGTCTCTCTTATACAGTTATACATATATATATATGTGATATGTCTGTTACTTTATACTGTTTTAGTCGGCATGATGTTGGAGCGGTTCTCAATCTTTATCTATGTGAGTTTGTGTCTGATAGCATGGCTATACACCAAGCTTCTCATGTCCTTTATATACACACCAACTCAACACAAGTCAGCTGGGGCCCGCTTTTTTTTCTTTTTTAATGAGATTCTTCTATTTCTACGTGTCTTTCTAAGTAGTTTCATTTATTTGTGTTGAGATATATAGTCCCTATTAGTAGTTGTATGTGTAACTAATGTGAAGTTTATAAGACCTTGGACACTCTCATCCTTTGAGTTAGCTTTTAGGATGATGTATCCCAAGATTCTTTACATTGTATCAGAACCAGGTTTGTGTAATGAATACTATTCTAAATCTGTGTATTGGCCAGGTGTAGTCTAATTTCCTAAATCTCATCACAATATTTGCATGCATAATCACTCAAGGTTATTCCACTAGTTAAGGGAATATCTTCGAGAAGGTGCTCTCAATTCCACAGTCAAATTTTTCACCTTAGTTTCGTATTGACTTAGCGTCTTAGTCTATATAAGCACACACTACATCATTATCAACTAGCATTTAAGGAATTCCAAATTACAGCAGTTCATATAATTACGCTGAACAAATACTATATCTACTTAATACAAAATTATACTTCATCGATCCGGAGGATTCGGGACGTCTAACCGAAGGTTGGTATTGATATTTTGGATAAGTACGTCCCCGGTGGTCTATAGAATGGACGTTGTAAGGGATGACAAAGTACAATAATGATAACATATAGCGGGTTGTACTGTATGCATAATCACAATCCACAACAGTACGGATGGCAAAAACGAGCTAATTCATCGGGTTAGTTTGTAATTCGTTAAAAATGAGTGAGGTTGGGTTGGCAAAAATGAGTTACCAATTCGAGCCAATCCAACCTGGGTCAGCTCGTGAAAAAATGTGTCAATCCGCAAGTCAAACGAGCAGCCAGTTCGCGGGTTAAGTTTTCTTTTTATTTTTTAAATACAAAATATAATATACAAAAATAAACAAAACTTACTCACGCTGTCTCATTTTTTTCCTTCTCTAAACCAACCTAAGTCCCTAATCTTTTCAAGTCCCTGTCATTTTTATATTGTTAAGATATGTTGGCTCTGTTTGGTTCAAATATCTTACCCACTTGATAGCTGGTTCTGATTATTTCTTGATGTTGATGTAAATTTGTTGTGCAGAAGATTCGAAACTAAAATATCTTGCTTTTATTTCTCATTTTGTAACCCTTTGTTTAAGCTGATGGAAGCCACATAGTGCATTAATACTACATGGTCATTTAAATAAACTAAAAACGAGCCAACCCGCGAGCAATTTTCGGATCAACCCGCGAGCCAATTTTCAAGCTAACTCGCGAGCTATTTTTTCAAGTCAACCCACGAGCTATATTTTTAAGCTAACCCGCGAGCCAATCCTAACCCGACTCGGGTCGGGTTGAGTTTTCTGATTCTTTTTCTTTTGAGCCAACCCTACTCGTTTTTTTTGAGTTGAATGCGAGTTGGGTCGGGTCGGATCGGGTTGGCCCGTTTTGCCAACCCTAGCTAACAGAGTGTGAAGTCAAAATGCCTACATAATATACTTAACCCTTTATTTATAAAAAAATTAACTGAAAGTTCTGATAGGAGTCAAATTGTTGAAAATAGGATAAGTAATTTTATCGCTTATTCGTTATGCATAGAGTATGAGATCCTATCTCTTATCTCTTTAGCTTGTCAGTTTTCTTTAATGATTGCTTTTAGAAGTTATGAACACATTCATTTGCTTAATTATATATAAAGTTGTTAAGAAAACAAGTAATTACATGTATTTTTATTTTAAGCAAGTGTAATATACATTACGTAACCACTGAAAATATCTTGTGTATCTCAGAGCTTCATAAAAAGAGGAGGAGTAGTCGTATATGATAGGTAAATTACATAAATAAATAGCTAAACAGTTTCCTAAAGTCTCACGAAAAAAATAAATGATAAATAATTTTTTAATAAGTAGGACAAAAATCTCAACGATACTTGCTTTTTTATCAGAATTTTTATAGGGAAAAAGAGTTCTCGTGCGAGAGAAAAACTCTTTCCTTATGTCACTCACCCCTTGATCCCAGTGCCAGACTTTTTGTTTTTTTAAACGTGGGGATCACCATTTTTTGTCTATGCGGGAATCTTCAAACTTCTCTTCTGAAATGAGAAGTCTAAATCTCATATTTGTATGTGCATACATTGTTAATTAGGAAGTATTCAATTCGAAAGTAATTGTATCTTTTGTATTCATCTAAGGGTGCTGTTATTTTTTTAAAGTTTTATAATTTTATATTTTTGAATTATTGATTTCTCATGTAACAAGATAAGAATTTCTTCTCTGCTGGCTTTTTGACCCTTATGCCCCTTAATTAATAATTAATTACCAAATTGCTCCTCATTCAAAACTATTTCGAAAATTTACCCTTCCCAACAAACATAACACCAATCTGCCCCTGTTTGACCGTTGACCACGAAGCCTACCCGGGTACACCATTACCTACCCGGGTAAATTTTGAAACTTTTTATCTACCCGAGTATGTAGGGGTGTACCCGGGTAGAGTTCTTGAATCTGGGAAAATGTTTGAATTATTTACCCGGGTACGGAGCAGTGTACCCAGGTAAACATCGACGGTAGGGTTTTAAAATACCCCAGCAGCCCCATTTCGAAAACCCACAAAAGGGGTACCCGAGTAGAGCTGCTGGAGGAGTGTCATCTTGAGCGATTTCAGGCATAATCTTGCACTAATTCGTCTTGTTTGTGATCATCATTCGCGGACCTTGCAACCTCTCTGCCTTCTACCGATTGAAATCGATCAAAGGTGCATTTTTTTTTCAGTTTTTTCAATTATGTTATGATTTCTGTTCTGATTCATTGTATTTTCGTTTATATCATTTGATTCTGTCCGAATTATTTTATCAATTTGTATGTCATACGCTTACCCTAACCCTAACCCTAACCCTAACCCTAACCCTAACCCTAACATGTATCTAGTATCTGATTTCGGTTATTTTTTCAGTTTAATAGTGTGACACAATGACCTCTCGACGCGTTTCAAAGCTGCCAGTGACCCATTCCGAGAGAAGAACCAAGAGTCGTCACGATGGGTCGTCATCCTCTCAGCCCCAGGCTGCTTCGAGTCAGGCTCCGGACTTGACGTTCGGATATTTGTTTGAGGATGACATTCCTTCACACGAGAAGTTCGTGAAGTTTTTCATGACCCGGAAGATCTGCGAACCGAAATCACTGGATTCGGCATTCTTCAACCTAGAGCGTTTTGACATCGTGCCGCTTCTTGAGCAGACACATTTACTTCACCTGGCGGAGATGCGGTGCCCATACTCGGAGGTTATGGTAAGAGCCTTCTACCAGAACCTTGGCTACTCGCAAGGCGAGCTGACTTCCCGTGTCTGCGGGATTGATATCATCATGACTGCTCCTATCTGGACGGAGCTAATGGGGTTCGATTTTGATGGTGTCACAGGAGCAGCACTATATGATGGAGACAGCCATCATATATTTGGTGATTATAACCGGGAGACCATTGTTACAGAGACTAGGAGGGCAGACGCTGAGCCCGGTCATTTTGCTCATTATCCTGTTAGCAACTTGTCAGTTTCTGCTCGCATTCTTCATTATGTGGTGACACATATTATTTTCCAGCGCCCGCATAATCACTCAAAGGTGCTGGAAGGGGACTTTGTCATCCTGTGGGCCCTCCTTCACAGTCAGCAGGTGAACTGGAGGCATTACATATGCATACTGATGTGGAAGGCAGCCAAGTCAAAGAAGGCTGAATTGCCTTTTGCATTTCTGGTGCAGAAGATTCTGCATAGATTTGGAGTGCCTATGGCAACAGAGACCTTGAAGACCGCCAGAGGCTGGAATGCTATATTTGGTGAGAGGCTCCTGAAGCAGTGTAGGATCCTACCGAACAGAGCGGGTATCTGGACGTGGAAGAAGGCACCAGAACCACCTGAGATCCCATTCCACCACGATGCTGAGATGGAGGATGCACCTGCAGGTGATGTGTTGGTCTTTATGAGTTTATGCAATTTTGTGTTGTTTAATTTTTAATGTGGTATTGAAGTTTGTTTTTCATGGTTTATGATGTAGGCCTTGATGATGATGACGATGATGATGGCGTTGCTGAGGTTGATGTCAGACCGACACGTCCCACCCGCAGTCGGCGACCACCAGCTCCTCCTGAGGGTGGATGGACACTTGATCATGTCATGGCATCCTTATATGATCTGACTACTGACTTTAGAGGATATAGACAGAGCACGAGCAAGTGGCGAAACCAGATGGACACAAGGGTTGCACGGTTGGACACAAGGGTTTCACGCTTGGAGGGTTTAATTGGCGAGGGTGCCCATACTCAGGAGGAGGAGGAGGAGGAGGATGATGACAATGGGGATGACACACAATCGGATGAAGAGAATGGGGAGGACACGGCATCGGATTAGTGTGTCCATAGGGTTTCATATCATTGATTTAGTTTGATGTAATGTAGTCATTTTGGTACATTTAGGAACTTTACCTACATTGCATGGATGTTTTTGTACTGGATGTTCAAAATTTGAATGAATGAAATTTTCGTTTTGCGCACGTTCAGACTTGTTGGTTCTATGCATTAGTATGGGACCTTGCATTAATATTGTCATAATTAATTTGGAAATCAATTCAACCCAAAGTAGTTTAATATTCATGTTCAACTTTGATTGACGCACATCTTGATTACTGCATCCTATTTCTACGAAATCAATCCACCCCCAAGTCATACCGTATGTAGGTATTGCACAACAATTACCAAAATGCAACAAAAATTGCCAAAACAGCATCTGCAA